TGTGATAATGCTAATACTGATACTGGTGATGATAATGCTACGATGTACGATGATGATGATGGAGACAACGAGGACGAGTTTGGCAACAGCTTTTCTGTTAATAACAAGTTCATCAATGATGAAGACGAGGAAGAATCTAGAAGGGGTGATGGATATGATGATGATATTTGTGATGGCTTAGTTTCTTTATATGGCGCAGAAAACGTTGATGTAAATGATGTTGATGATAATGGTGGTGGCTGTGGTGACATTGATGATGTTGAAGATATTGCTGCAATAAAAAATGACGAGGATGGTGCTGTTGGTGTTGGCGTTTGCGATAACGAAAAAGATTTTGGCACCAATGATGGTAATGAACCCAAGAGTAATGATGATGATGATGACAATAATGGTAATGATGATGTATGTGGTGTACTGGATGCTGCAGACGATAGCGCTGGCGACGATGGCGACGCTAGATTTTGCCTCGTGGAAGAAGATCTAGAGGTAGCATCTGCAACAGGAACATTCGTTACACTGAATTATTAAAACACATGCATGGGGCTGCTTGTGCATTGCGCATGGGGGAGGGGGATAATACAATTACTTATTATTACAATTACTGCGTTCTGATTGGATGAGCTACTACTAGGCTACAAAAATAAGTTATAGCCTACTACTAGCGAAAAGTGCCGGCTTTGAAAACTTTGAAAATTTTAATTCGAAACTTGCTTGCATCTATATATTTGACCGACTAGTTAGGATTGACTAAAACAATTAATTAACAAGATTCAATAGCCCATTCGGGCTCGAGGACTAATTGGTAAATAGCCCACTTTGAAAGATGGTTTGCTTGTCACGCACAAAGGCTTAAGTACGAGGCTACGTGCTCAATTATATTAATTCTTTTCTCCTGTGACGAAAAATCACTTTAAAATCACTTTTATTTAAGTGTCTAGTCGTTCTAGCATTTTCGCACTAATTGGGGACACTTTTCGCTCACACGCACTACCACTACATTTAATATTCTATGCACACAACGCTCAACTCACATGTTGATTTTTACGGAGGGAGGAAACCGGAGAACCCGGAGAAAACCCCCGTAGCATAGGAGAGAACAACACATCAAACAAACTTAATTCCCGCGTGGCGACCGCAGGGCTCGAACCAGCGACCCGACTCGTTGGACTCACAACGGTGAAAGACGACGCGTTATAGTCGCGAACTCCACCCATGCTTCCCGAATCACTAAGAATTATGTTCGTAACCGCACATTGGAACCTTTGTGCGTGGCAAGCGAAGCATATGACATGATCCCCATATTGGGCTATTGACCTGATTAGTATTCTTTGCTATATCAGGTAACCTTACTTCTGAGTCATTGCAGGCTATCCAGTGTGATTTAAAAATCTAAATAATTTATTAAGCTTTAGCTGTTGTATCACAGCGTGGGACAATCACGACAGAACTAGACTCCAACAAGATAAAAGCCCAAAGATTGAATGAGAATTTAGAAGTTGATTTTTGAGGAGGAAGGAAAACCGGAGAACTCGAAAAAAAACTCAAAGCACAGGAGAGAACCAACGAACAACTCTACTCACATACGACACCGAGACCGGCAGGACTCGAACGTGGTCCGCATTGGTGACAGGCAGCGCATTAGCAGTGCAAACCACCCGTGCTTCATTTACCCTTGATTTTGTTTTGATGAAAAAATCAGTTGATTTTAAGACATGAAAAAAGATGTCTTGACCTGCCATTGACTCTCCCCTTGCAGTATAAAAACATATAAAAACCGGAATTACATTTTACGTTTTTTAGTTTTCAAAATGTTTTTGAGATACACACCTACTTGCAAGAACGTTGTCACATAAAAAATAGAACATTAGTGATTAATTTAGTGGGATAGGAATTATATTAAAAAACAAAAGAAGATCACTGAAGCTGAACTTTTTCTTTTGTCTTTTAATGTATTCCTTTCTCATTAAATTACTAATGTTATAATATCGTATGACAACGTTCTTGCAAGTAGGTGTATACCATATAAAACCTAAAAACCGCCATTTTGTTGCCACGAAGGAGGCCCTGGCTCCCTTGGTCCCCCTGGCTACGCCCTGCTTTCATCCAATCATATTGCTATAGTCACGACCAAAGACTGAAGACTTAACAACATTTCTCTAAGTCCAGATACATACCCTTAACGGAAATATTAACAAGCTTCTGTTCAATTCCACAAATGTATTTGTATTTGCTTCGCCCATCAACTGCTTTGAACTTATGGTTACTATAGGTTGTCGTATATTCTACCGCCAAGTAATTCTCTTGAGGCTGAATATTGTCTTGATTAATCAAGGAAAGGATTAAAGCGTTTAGCTTGTTGCCATTGCTCCAGAACCAACCGGATGCATTCTTCTCTGCGCCCAGGTAGTAGACGTCTGATTCGGTGAGGTTTATGCTTTTACCAAGTTTATATAACTGGTGTTTATATCTATAGCTTGAAGAATCCATATAAAAGAGGTGGCCGTCAGGGTGTCGATCATTACAATCACTGTTTGCTTCAAACCAGGTTTTATTCTGGTTCACAACTATGAAGCAATCGCTGTCATATGGCTGCCATCCTGATGGGCATGCGCAGAACACTGCAAAGTAAAACAGTGTAAATAAATGAATATCTAGCTAGTGTCGGAAAACATCAGGCAAAAATGTGGTATTCAATTTATCTTATTGCTGGGTTTTAATCAGCTGATGAACTTGACATACCTGCCCCAATCGCAGTCATCAGAAGACCAATCCGAATTTCTGTTCTCGTCATTATTGCCTGCACAATAATACCAAAAAAAAAAAGGATGTATTTGCGGAAAACGCCCTATAACACTATGACGTCAGATTAAAACAGTCTATTGCTTTAAAGCTCAGGATTATAGTCGCTAGAGGGGGACAGAATGACAACAACACACACACAAAAAAGCCACGATAAAATTGCATTTACGACTCGCAGTAGGGAGAAATGACAAGCATTTTGGTCGCTAGAAAGAGGCAGAATGACAACAATACACACACACACACACAAAAGCCACGATAAAATTGCATTTACGAATCGGAGTAGGGAGAAACGACAAAAAAAATACTATTAATATCGAAGGATAAACATTGAGACATAACTCGGCCATATGGAAACTACACAATTTGAAAGCAAACTTTCGAAGAAAAAGATAAGATTTATAAATAAGATTTAGTCTAAAAATTAAATTTCCGTTGTTTTTAGCGAGTCTGTCCCCCACTGTAAACATGTTGTGACGTCTAAGTGTTATAAGGCAATTACTTTTCAAGTATGATTTTTWAAAAAATTAAGAATATGACTTCAACATTTAAAACATCTAAAAAAATGCAAAATATTTAAAACATTTTAAAAAAATTAAGACATTTTTAATATTCTTAGAATTTGTAAAATCTTAAGAATATGATTTTAAAATCGTAATGCTTTCTTTATCCTATTCGTTTATCTTATTAAGGAAACAAAAAGCTAGAGGGGTGACCGCCATGCTGGAGAATAAGAAGTCATCCATCATGGCGGCTATGACGTCATTTACGCTAAAAATAGTACCTAACAATCAGGGACTAGAATAGACTCTAATGATATAATTATCTATATTTAACCATGCCACTGAAGTAACATAAGTCCCCAATGATATTGAATCAAGTGCAGTAAGCAATAAAAGTCTAAAACAATATTCATCATGAAACGCGTCCGAAGCAATCGTTTAAAGGCTGTCGTATCACTTTCTCCTCCTCCTACTCCTCTATCTCCTCCTCTATCTCCTCCTCTATCTCCTCCTCCTCCTCCTCCTCCTCCTCCTCCTTCTCCTTCTCCTTCTCTACTTCCATTTCCACTTTCATAATCATGAAAGAAACCAAAACATATTAGAACGCGGTAAAATATTCTCTCCCTATCTCCCTCCCTCTTGCTCTCTTACTACACTCTTAGAAGCTATATTGTGCCATTATCTAATCATATATTTGTAATAATGACTGTCATAAATTTTGACTTATATAAATTTTGGTAATAAACATCTAAGGATCTTTTGTTTTTGTTGCTTTTAAATTCATTGTTTTTGTTGTTATTTTTGTTGTCCTAATATTGTTGTTGTTGCTGCTGTAGCTGTAGCTGTGGTGGTTTTCTTTAGTATTGCTATTGTTTTTGTTGTTGTTTTTGTTTTCGTTTTTGTTGTTGTTTTTGTTGTTGTTTTTGTTGTCTTGTCGTCGTTTAGTGTCGTCGCTGTTGTTTCTATTTCTCCTTCCAAACCCTTTTTCTTGATTTTCTTATCAGATTTGCGGATTGATCGATGCCGAGTCAAAACGTTCCGTTAACCCTCAAACTATAGAAAAGACTGAAACTTCCTATCATTTTATCTTTTTTTTAAAAAGTGAAATAATTAAATAAACAATGTAGTTTATTTTACTTACTCTTGGCAAAAATAATAATAATAATAAAATAAAACGAAGCAATCCAGTTTTAAGCGTAATTCTTGTCTCCAAAATCACAAGCAGATTTGATTCAGTCGTTTGGAAATCACCATCTGCATGCCCAGCTTATTTCTTGTTATTTTTTGGATAAACAAGCTACAATAGAAGAAATACAATAAAATAGTAATTGAGATGAAATAAAAAACTTTCGTCTAACAATTGATAAAAGAAATATCATATTATGCAAATAACCTGTGGTGAAGGCAATCTTTCACCAAATTTGTTTTTTTTTAATTTTTTTGTTAAAAATATTTGTACTAAAATATATATTTATAATCATATAATTAGTTTTATATTTTTCTCTTTCCAAAAAGTAGAAAACAGTCAAGGAAGATTTACACAGGATTTTATTGATGGTTTATATCGGATACGAGTATTGTTCTTGTGACTCTTCAAATTCCAGACGTACTAGCTTGATTAACAGCCCTATTTTTTTTATCAATAAAGAAATATGTGTTTCTTATCATCGGCAAGCATTCTTGTCAACTCGACACTTGAAAGGCTTTTGAAGCTCTTCATTCAGTTGACATCGAAAGGATTTATTGTCAAAGAAATATTTGGGCTACACTTAAAAAGCCTCTTGCAGCAAGCTTTTCTAAAACTTCATTGTCAACTTTTAAAAAATCTGTTATTATTTGTCCATTTGATTGATATATCTCTGTCGTAAATGCCAATTAATGCCATGGTCAATTTTTGACATTGATTAATAGAATCATATTCTTACTAACTTGAAGTCGTGCTCTTTCTAAAAGTGCATAATTTTTGCGGGCTTATTTGCTTAATACTGGGCAGTCGCATAACAGTTCATAACAAATATTAACCCCAGTCATCAGATGTCGCTTGTTTGTTCATACAAACGAACAAACGAACGGATGATTGGACAAACGAGCGTACGAACGTACGGATGAACGAACGAACGAACGAACGAACGAACGAACGAACGAACGAACGAACAAAGAATGCAAGCCGTCTAGTTTCGTAAAAAACCTAGTTGTTTAGTAAAATGTAAAATAAAATAAAATAATATCAATAATAATAATAAGATTTAATTTAATTTGATTTAACTTTAAAAAATTACAAATTACACATTGAAAACGCATTTTTTCCCCAATTCCTCGCATATATTTTTGTCCTTACCGACTAGTTTTAACGACGACGATTTTTCGCTCAAAGGCTATCTAGCTGCCAAAAATCTTAATTTTGAATTGCACGGTTTTGACTTCGCCAGATCAAAAACTAGCTCGCAATAAAGTACGCGTGTAAACGTCGAAAACGCCGAAATTGCAAGGTTTTTGATATGATGGGATCCGAAGTCAAAACTCTTTTAGTTTTGCCGCGTTGCGCTAAAATTTGACAATTCACATCGATCGTTGTAACATCGTCGTTATGGTCATTTTTTTCACTTTTTGTATAGTTTTCGAAAATCAACCTGAATATTTATATGTATATATTCCCCAAACTTTTGCTTGGCTTATCGTTTTTGATTTATCAGTTAGCACTAATAATGCGACAGACTACTGATAAACACCTCGCAAAAAATATTTGTTTTAAAATGGCCTTATGTTTTAGCTTTTCTCAAAGTCAATGGCATTTCCCTAAAATGTACAATCGAATAAATTTTAAAAACATGCTTGAGAAAATAAAATCGACTTTAAAATACAAAATATAAATTCTTTTTTTCTTTTCTTTTTATATCATTGCTCCCTTTTTATATTGTTAATTAAATAGCTTTAGATTCTTCACTCACCTGCTCCTTTCTTGATCTCACTTTTTGAAATAGCAGAATTTCAGAAACATTAATAAAAAATGAATATTGTGAAGAATTTTAGAAAATTATGAAAATCGAAGATAAATGAAATTTCTTCAGAGGATTTCTTTTCAAGGTTCGAAATTTAAGTCAGTGTTAATAATTCGTTTTGTTAAACAACAAGAATGAATGAATGAATGGAAAAGCTGAAAACTAGCAATGACGTGCTGTGATATGTTCATGCATTCTGATTGGATGAAATACGTGGTGACTCGACGGGATTGGCTCATCATGGCTCAAAGAAAAGCCCATGTAGGTGCTCTAGTGCCCTAATACTATTTGGTATGTACAAGAGTATTATATTATGAGGGAGTATTTAATTCGCACAGCAGTGCAGAATATGTATTGTATGAAATAAATACAATCAACTCCAACTGTATTCTACATCTCACAACAACAACTCAGTCAAAAATTCAGTGATTGAAATTATTACTTCTGCATAGATCAATGCAGGCGTTTGCCAAGAAATCTCAGATTAATCAAATTTCGCAGAAAAATTTAGACAATTTCAAATAAGCCTTAACGTGTCAAATCTTTATTAAAGGACGTTAGGCGTGATGCATACTCAGCCTTATCCAATAAATAATAACTTGGAGCACTACATGACAAGAAGTGAGATTGAAATGTTATTGGAATATTGTATCTATTCTTGAAAAAATTACATTCAGCCATCGAAATTAATTGGGAGGCGAAGAAGACGAAGAAGAAGAAGAAGAAGAAGAAGAAGAAGAAG